TATATATATTGTTCGAGTTCGCGTATTATTCGCCGTCGACACATATATATATTGTTCGAGTTCGCGTATTACTCGCCGTCGACAATAAAATTGTAATTACATATTATATACGAGTGCGAGTTCACTTCATCGTCGTACGCGGTTTTTCGTTAATTCGCCGTCGTGCAAGTACCTACTTACCTGTCGACCGAGTTGTCGACGGTCGCGACGACATATTTCGCCGACGCACGATATTCCTCTTGTACGGTCATATTAATGCGCGTCCCCGTCGCCATCGTAAGACTAACCGTCCAATCAACACGAGTGTGTGTGTGTTTCTTCTGTCGTCCACCCATCCGTAATCTGCTCTGTTGGAAGGACAGCCAATACCAGGAATCAGGTCAGATCGTTAATTATATAATTCTTCCATGAGTTTCAATAACTTATTAATTTTAATTAATTGTGAGTCCGATGTCGGGATTTTTAGTATACCAAATTAATTGTCTCCCCTCCTCCCCTTATTAGTAATTAAGGTATTTTATTGTTTGCCGAACAGGCATTTACTTATTACAAATACAGTCCACTTTATGTTAATTTCAACCAAAAATTGCCGTTGTAAAGTCTTTCCGCCCTCACTCAAGTACTAGGCAATCATCCTACACCTTCCTGCGTATCATAGGATTTGCCTGTGCGTCTACATTGGTCCTTCGGGCCGGATAGATCTATTACTTCCTTAGATCCATTATAATGCCGCTTTCAGCTGGGGACACTGAACGTGCCGAACGTGCCTTGAAGCGTACAATTGCAAAACGCAATGGAATTGTTGCCCAAGTGTCACTGTTAGCTGATTTGGCGCAAAAGGTTGAGTTAGATACAAGCGTTCTCCGTGTGTTCCGTGCAAGGAGGAAGGATGTCGAATCTCTCCGTAACCAATTCATGATCGAACAAGATTCAATTTTTGATTTGTTGATCCAACTCCAACGGGAAGAGGAGTATGACCAAGTCCATTCACCTTTAGACGCCACCCTGACAGAGCAATACTATAACATCATTGCCATCGCTGATGATGTATGTGGCAACGACCTTCCGTCAGTGATCACAACTACATCGGACACCAAGGATCAGTCAAACCATTTACAACTGCCAAAAATACAGATTCCGAGTTTTGACGGTGATATTCTCCGGTGGATAACGTTTCGGGATACGTTTAGATCGTTAGTACACGACAACGACCACATCCCAAAAATCGCGAAGTTTCACCACCTATTGGCTGCGGTTACGGGTAGCGCAGGTGCTGTAGTTCGTTCGATTCCGTTGTCCGAAGCAAATTATGAGGTTGCGTGGAAGGCTCTTTGGGAACGTTTCAACAACCCACGCTTGATCATCAGTGCTCATATGGATAAAATTTTTAACTATCCATCGGTGAAATCTGCTTCGTTATTCGACTTGAAGGCGTTTCTGGATACCTTTAAGGAAAATATTGGAGCCCTCCAAAGTTTTGATATTCCGGACAAAGAAGGTTTTTTCCTGTTTTACGTCGCATCACGCGTATTGGACTCCACCACTAGATGTCATTTCGAGTCACAATATAATAGTGATGCATTGCCAGTTATAAATGACTTGTTAAATTTTGTTCAGACAAGGTGTCAAGTGCTACAAAATAGTTCAACTTCAATCCCGCCAGTTTCCAATGTACATAAGCTGAAAGTTGGAGTGAAGAACAACTCTTCGTATCCTCGGACCTCATTAGTTGCTTCGTCCACCGAGTCCGTAAACTCCTGTCCTGTGTGTAAGGGTTCACATTACATTGGTAGATGTGCAACATTCCTAAATTTGTCTACTGCACAACGTCTCCAAAAGATACAGTCACTCCGCATGTGTACCAATTGCATGAGTACTGTTCATACTTCGTCGAAATGCGAGTCAAAATACTCTTGCCGTCATTGCTCCGCTCGACATCATTCGTTATTGCATTTGGGTGAGATTGAAAAAAAGGCATCGTCGTCAGCAACTTCAGGCACCCATTCATTACCAAAAAACAAACCAAAGCCTTCAACTTCGTCCACAGAACAGTCCTCAACTGCGTTTGTCGGTACGGTCAACACTACCAATTTGAATGTACTAGGCACGGCCCTAATTCGTATACGTGACAAATTTGGACAATGGACACCTGTTCGGGCACTTATTGATTCTGGTTCCCAGATCTCGGCCATTACACATATAAGTGCAACTATGCTCGGCCTCAACAGACATTCTACTGATATTACTGTCGTGGGCTTATCTCAAAGTCCGATTCTACAAACAAAGGGTTCAGTAACCTGCCATATTATTCCTTATACGTCGTTTGCCCCTGAGTTAATATGCGAGCCTGTCATATTATCCAGAATCACAGGTCTCATGCCGTCAGCAGCTCTGAGCCCTGCAATACGATCCACATATTCTAAACTGCAATTTGCTGATCCGTCGTTCGATTGCCCGGGTCGCATTGATTTTCTTATCGGCGCGGACATTTACAACAAATTATTCGAAAATGGCTATCAAGTCCTCCACGAAGATGGCCTTCCTTCGGCTTTTGAGACGTCACTTGGTTGGATTTTCGTGGGAACTTCCAGTCAATGCCATGCTCAGTCACGAGTGTGCTTAAAGCTATCCTCGGAACCGTCGTTAAAGGAGTTGCTACATCGTTTCTGGGCCTGTGAAGAGCCAGAATGTCAGTCTATCCCATTTACTGAACAAGAGAAATGTGAGGACATCTTTCAACGGACCACCAGTCGAGACAATACAGGCCGTTATGTTGTATCTCTGCCATTCAAGATGGACCCATCAATTCTCGGCGACTCACGGAGTATGGCGTTATCACGGTTCTTCAACTTAGAACGCAAACTACAAGCTGAACCTGAAGTATACGCTGAATACCGACAGTTTATGAGTGAATATCAATCACTTGGACACATGAAGGTTGCAACCACACCGGGGAAATACTTGATTCCTCATCATGCGGTCATAAAGTACGCTAAGGACAAGATGAAGTTAAGAGTTGTTTTCGACGCTTCGGCTCGCACTTCTTCAGGTGTTTCATTGAACGATACGTTGTTTGTCGGTCCAAAATTACAATGCGACATCATGAACATTCTACTCCGTTGTCGCTTGAATAAATACATGTTCACGGCTGACATATGCAAAATGTATCGCCAAATTAACATTCACTCGTCACATTGCGATTATCAACATATATTATGGCGAGACGATCCTTCAAAGCCATTGGTGGAATATGCCTTGACGACCGTTACCTATGGAGTAGCCTCATCGCCTTATCAAGCGTTGCGTGTACTGCATCAACTAGAAAGGGATGAAGGGCATCAGTTCAAGAGGGCTCTAGGCGTTCTTACTACAGAAACCTACGTCGATGATATCATAACAGGGGCAGGAACAATCCCTGACACGCTAACCCTTCAACGTAATGTTACTAAGTTGTTGGGTGCAGGTGGTCTAGAACTCAAGAAGTGGGCGAGCAACTGCCCAGCCGTTATGCAGGATATTCTCGCAGAAGATCGAGTAATGGAATCTTCTTTTGACCCTAAAGATCATTGTTCCGTTAAAATCCTTGGATTACACTGGGACCCCATCTTGGACATATTTAGTTACCATAGCGAGCCTTACACTTCTACCACAACGAAGCGATCAGTGTTGTCTGCTATTGCAAAAATCTACGACCCACTTGGAATCTTATCCCCTATCACCTTTTGGGCGAAATGTTTCATGCAAGTGTTGTGGAAAAATGGTTATGATTGGGACCAGCCCATCTCTTCCGAAATGGCTTCGTCTTGGAAGACCTTTTCTTCTGAACTCCCATGTGTTTCCTCGATCAGCGTACAAAGATATATACCCACTGAACAGTCATTGAATGTATCACTTTTAGGTTTTTCCGATGCGTCCCTCAACGGATACGCTGCAGTCGTGTACATGCGTTTAGAGTACAGCTCCATGCCTCCAACCGTACATCTCATCACCGCTAGATCCAAGGTTGCACCGTTGAAGTCAGGAAAAACAGATGAAGTATTATCAGTCCCGAGGCTGGAACTTTGTGGTGCGTTGCTACTTGCACAAACACTACATCGAGCACAAACAACCCTTGCTGTGAAGATCAATATTCAAGAGGTACACGCATGGACAGACTCCACCGTTGTACTATCATGGTTAACGTCTCAACAAATAGACTTCAAGATTTTCGTGACAAATCGGTTGAAGAAGATATCCGAATTATTACCGAATTGTCATTGGCATTACGTTTCTACTCACCACAACCCAGCGGATTGCGCGTCAAGAGGCATGTACCCTAAAGAAATGTTATCTCATAGTTTGTACTGGAATGGGCCCGGCTTGCTGAAGCAGTCAGTCAACCATTGGACTACCGCCAGTTTCAATGTTGTACCAAATGACCTATTGCCAGAACGAAAACTTGTTGTAGATACAGTTCATCTTGTCACTGTGCCATGTGGTGACACGAGTTGGCTAGAACGGTTCTCATCCTTTACACGTCTTCAACGAGTCCTTGTCCACATCCGTCGATTCATTGCTTGTAGCCGTCGGTTGCCTACCTATTCAGGGTATATCCGTCAGTCAGAATTAGATGACGCCTTGAAGGTACTCGTCAAGACCACACAATCACAGAATTTGTATTCTGTCGTCATAGGTCTTACTTCGTCCAAGAATGCAGCTATTCCAGTATCGCTCGCGCGTCTGTCACCCTTTTTGGACCCAGAGGGAATCATTCGGGTAGGAGGTCGTCTAAAACATGCCAATGCCAATGAGGACTTCAAGCATCCCATCTTATTGCCAAAGTCTTGCGTGCTCACAACTTTGCTCGTTCGCCATTTCCACATAAATTATCTTCATGCCGGACCGCAACTGGTGTCCTCGCTCTTAAGTGCACGTTTTTGGATCATATCGAGTCGCTCCGTCATAAGACATATAATTTTTAAGTGTGTACCATGTGCGACACACAGAGCATCCATCCCATCACCCGTCATGGGAGACCTCCCTAAGTCACGAGTTCAGTCAGTACGACCCTTTAGCAATGTAGGCATTGATTATGCTGGCCCTCTTGCGATAAAGGAAGGAAAACGTCGAAATGCCCGCGCAAGTAAGTGTTACTTAGCAATCTTTGTGTGCATGGCAGTGAAGGCGGTCCATGTAGAGGTTGTGTCGGATCTATCCACTCCCGCGTTCATTGCCGCACTGCAAAGGTTCGTTTCGCGCCGCGGTGTTCCGATGAACATTTATTCCGACTGTGGAACGAATTTTCAAGGTGCTGACAATGTTTTACGTTCTCATCTACAAGACCCATCTGCTCGGGATCTTCTTTCAGCTGCCATACCATGTAAATGGCATTTCAATCCTCCAGCTGCCCCTCATTTTGGGGGGTTGTGGGAGGCAGCCGTTAAATCGGTGAAGTACCACCTAAAGCGAGTCATCGGCAATCAATTACTTACATTTGAAGAGATGGTCACTTTGACACACCGAATCGAAGCAGTCCTGAACTCCAGACCGATCACCCCCATGTCTACAGATCCGAATGATTTACGTGCTCTCACTCCTGGCGATTTTCTCATCGGTTGCCCCATACTAGCATTACCTGACCCAGATGTGACTTCAACACCGATCAACCGTCTAACGCGATGGCAGTTATTAGACCAACTACAACAGTCCTTTTGGAACCAGTGGTCCGCGGAATACCTAAGCACCCTACAAGGTAAATCAAAATGGTACCGCAAGCAAGCGAATCTCCGCGTCGGAGATCTAGTATTACTGCGTCGTCCGAATGTCCCACCAACAGTGTGGAAGATGGGACGAGTCGTGATTACTCATCCAGGGGACGATGGAGTAGTCAGGGTGGTGACAGTACGAACACAGGACGGGATATACAAACGACCAGTCGTCCAATTAGCGATCTTACCTGTTGAAGATGATTCGGACACTCACAACTCAGCCATATGACCTTCCTGAAACTGTTCATCCCTCTTTCTCCTTTAACCAAAAAAAAAAAAAAACTTGTAATTAACTAGTACATTAATTTTAAGTTAGTAAATAAGTTTCTCTGCAAATCAACGTCCCAACACGAACTCTTCATCACACACCTGAAACCCTGGATACCAATCTTCTTGGAAGTCTACGTCTTCCAAGGGGGGGAATATGTTGTCGCTATTCACAACAATGTTATCGTGATAACGTCGGGTACGCGCACGCCGCACCAGACGACATTGCCGCCGGGTGGTCGCGCAATCCGTTTGTCGTCACGTGACAGCATTATATCACGTCGGAATTTCTCCGTGAATCGTGATAACATAAACATTTTTTTTGATATCGCGTTGTTATTCAAAAACCACGTTCGTTAAAAGACGTGTGTATGCGTTTTTCATTTTTTTCTATATATATTGTCCGAGTTCGCGTATTATTCGCCGTGGACACCGTTATATATATTGTCCGAGTTCGCGTATTATTCGCCGT